ATTAATGAATTTCTCTCAAGTCAACATGATTTGGGCTGTGCAGGATGGCATGTTGAGGAGCAACACAGCATCTGGAAACTGCCATTTTTTGGCTCAAAGAATGAATGTGACAACTGTTGCCAGTAATGGCCACTGATGTTTTCGGGCAGGAGGGGACCCACCCCACTGACTATTGACCACCTCAGGCTTTTTAGTTGAATATTACGAACTCACACTTAAAACAGACAAAGATGGAAGGAAAAGGCAAGTAACTAAGATATTTGAAACAGATCAGTTTCAAATCATTCAGAATGGTAAAGGGGGACACAGAATACAAGATCAATTTGTATTAGAGGGGAATTGAATTTCGCAGTAAATGTACTATTAACAACTAACTCCCTAGGCTCTTGCTCTAGGGAGCATACTGAACCCAACAAACTTCAACAGGCACATGCACAGTACTTGTCTATGCACTTGTTGACTACACAGTGACTTGAAAGAATAATGCGTCTTTTTCAAACGTGGATTGAAGTATATGATAAAATATTTGGTTACTCATAGCAGAGCATGACATTAAGCCCAAACAGTTCTTTGGACAAAACATACTGGTAGGGTCAATTTTATCTTGCCCCAACTGGCTTCTGATAGGAAAAGGTCACATGAGAACACACTTTTCATAGTTTAAATGTCAAAAGTACATAACCACACCAAAAACACCAGAAATTTTGTCCAAACACTTCTGCTTTTGGTCGGACAAAATCCAAAAAAAGGCTGGAAAACGGCAGACGTCTAGAGGTAATTTCACGCTCTGCAAAGGTTTTAGGGATTGCCCACTGAATTGTATTTGGTGGGTTTTACCATGGAGAGATTTGCCGGGATCACTGGTGAATCTCCCAAAGTGTCATAAGCCACAGGGCTGGGTTTCCCTATCTGGCTATGACTTGATATATGACGCATGCATTCATCATGGAACCCTACTTGTGTCAGACACCCCTTGTATTGGATACTGTTAAGTACACACCTATGTAGTGGGCAACAGGGTACTTGCAGTCAACTCTCGTTATTACAAAATCCCCGGGACCACGTAAAAACGTCCGTTGTATCCGAAATTTGTTGCAAGCGGAATGCAATGTAATAGCTTACCTGTACTTGTACAATGTATGCACGTGTATGAATGTTCATCCAAAATACGCGTGGTTGATGTTACATCAAAAAGATCACTCGGTTATAATTAATCAAATATATTGTGATGTGTTTAGAAATATAAAAATTCACTGTCACATGAAATCATGTTTAATGTACATGGACATGTGAGATTAATGAAAGCATATACATGTCCATGTGAAAGGATCGATCCAGGGATTTTTAAAAGACTTTTGATTGCACGGATGATAACAAAGCTAAACGGCATGCTCATGTAAGCCTGTGTGTACCAGCAAGAATGTGAAGATTCATCAACTGGAGCCCCCATCCATGTAAGTGGTCTTTTGTATCACGAAGAGACACTTTTATATAATTTTCCGTCTGTCTTATGATTTTCGACACTAGCTGCATGACACAATTGATCGATAGTTCACTCGCCCACTGCGGCGCGGCCGACCACGCGCAAGATGGTCGCTGAAGAAGCATGACGTCGTGAAGGAATATTGCAATTGGATAGCTGTGTCTCGCAAAATGTACGTCATGAAAACAGAGTTTCATTGGCCAGTACGCTAGATCTTTTTGCAGCAATATGAATAATTCAGTGTTGGGCAATTAGTTGGGCTCTTGAGATGTAAGAGTAGTCAAACGAACTTATTTGGCCATATTTTTATCAGAATCGGGAAGGGAATTTTTGTTTTGATGTTGAGACGATGAGGGGCCAAGTGATGTAATGCTAAACGACCTTATTTTAAAGA